ACTATTCACTACAGCCCATCACAAGTCGGCTGCTGAACAAAGTCTTCCCTCACAAATTGCCCCAAGTACGGTCCTTAGCTACCTGCATTCATCGACTACCTGTGTTCATCAGGTTGTTACTCCATCACGTAGGTGAAGGGTCGTCCAGCATTGCACTTGCCTGTACGAGGTTTCCACTCAATAACCACTCTTCCAAATCCGCTGTCGGTTCTTCGAGCTACATGGTCGGCCTATTTTTGTACATATGTATCTTAAGATCTACCCATAGCAAAACACTACTGACGTCGTTCAGTACAGTGCTAAGGTGCTCCAGGGATTTGGCCGTAATAACAATATCGTGAACAAATTAAAGGTGAGTGATGTATTCGCTGGTAATGTTAATACCATATCCTTTCTAGTCTAGTAGCTTGGAAATGTCTTCCAATGCAGCGGTGAAAAGTTTCGGATATAAAACCTCATCCTATCTTACACCTCTCTGCACTTGGATAGGTTTCGTGTTCTGGTTCTATACTTGGATAGACATTCACATACTCAAGATATAACAGAAGATCTCTTCAATCTTTTATATAAACTGCCGAAGTGTATGCATGTGGTCTATGGTAGTAAAGGCTATTCTGAAACCGGCTTTTGTTCGGGAGGAGCTAAGCTTCCTAGGTTTAATCAACTTTCAAGAATAAAACTATTATTGAAATACTTTTATGTTTTATTTTACATTAAAACGAGTGTTCTAACCCTCATCATCATCCTATTAATAATCCTTTGGTGGATATACTTTTTCCATAATGAAGTGAATTTGTCGTAATCGCCACTTTTGATAAACAAATTGTTGATGGTATTACCAAACTAACAATAATCACCTTGATAACAAATTAAAATAACAACAAATGCGGCTGCCGATGCGCCTGCGAAGCCTAGCAACTATGGCAAAATTCCTCCCATGAGGCAATCTACGAGGGAGGCCTATGTTCAGCAGTGGAATTTTATAGGATATAATGGATTAGCAAGCATATTCTACTTTATACGCTCCTTCCTGCTGCTGACTTGAATATTTTACATTAAATAAGCAAGCTATACCGCCATATTTTGCAGGTCTTGAAATCTTTTTGTTTTTTCTCATTTTCGGCCCCTATGACACATATAGAGTGATGAATTATCTTGCGCTGTCACTCCACGGAAAATCAATATAATTCTTTATTATACATACTAAATTTATACCTTTTTCTTTTTTCTTATTCTATTTTTAGCAGTTTTACTGTTGGTAGTACATTTTAAGTCCCTTGATAACGCCATGAGATAGTATTAAGTGTCTAACTTATTTACAATTTTTATGTTTTTTACATTTTTGTAAATCTTTCATGCTTCATTTTATTTCATTTTAAACATAGAGTTTTTGTATAGAGGCACTTGTTTTACTCTTTGACATAGAGTAACATCGTAAATTATTTATTTCTAAAACACTCTTGAAACACACGTGCACTTACAATATAGATCTAAAATCTACAGTGTCCAGCGGAGGATGGCTATAAGGAACGTGCGAGGATGACAAGATACCATTTGAGGCGGCAACAGACCTTTCTGGTGGTTATGAATGCGACAGTGTACAACCGAATCCAGACCCTCCGTGCGAGAAGTGGCAGTGAGCCAGATGGGGCGTTCGAGTCAATTAGCTCGAATCAATTAGGCCTTTGACACGGTAGACAATGACGTTCTTCTAGCAAAGTTGGGTAACGCAGGCTGCACGCCACACACATTATCATTTTTCGCCTGTTATTTACGAGACCGATGTTAGTATGTTGCCTGCAGCGGACGGCTTTCCGAACCTTACTTTACAAGATCAGGTCTCAGTCAGGGCAGTAATTTAGGGCCTCTTCTCTTCATTTGACAATCAACGATTTGCCGGAAGTAGTCAGTAAGTCTACACCCTTGTTATTTTGCTGATGACCTAAAACTAGTTTTTAAAATAAAGCAAAAGGCGGATAATGACATTACTACATCAGGATATAAATAATTACTTAGAGTGGAGTTTTGAAAATAAATTATATTTCAACGTGGTGAAGTGTTCTATTCTATCGTTCATCCGTGCACATAACCCGAGTCATCATCAATATTACATAAATGGTACCCCTAAATCATTAACCTCAACCACCATCAACACGCTGCAGTGGGCTGCAGCGTGTTGCTGTGGTTAATGATTTAGGCGTGCGACTCACTATGGATATACAATTTCGAAAACTAAAAATGCATACCGCAATTTAGGGTTGGTTTTACGGCTAGCGAACCAATTCACGAACATCGGTGCTCTGAGAGCATTATACGAAGCACTTGTAAAAGTCATTTAGAATGCAATGCTGTCGTTTGGTCACCACATAAATCCAAATATAAATTAATGTTAGAACGTATTCAGAACGATTTTGTGAGATTTAGGTATTTAAAACAATATGGTGTGTACCCGGGTTATCCACTGTTGTACCCTGCTCTATTTATACTAGCCCTGATCGGCTATTATAAATTAAAAACCCGAAGGGAAGTCGCTTTCGCTACTTATTTACTAAAAGTGATCCGTGGTAAAATAGATAACTCAGGTATTTTTATTACAGATAGTTAAGCTGTATGTCCCTGACGAGTACGTAGGATGACGGTGGCGGCCGCCGCTCTTGTCGGCTACTTGAAGACTCACCCATAAACATACACATACATATACTCGTCATTACTGGGCACAGGTGCTTCGGTGATCATCTATGTAAGATTGGAGGTGAAGAGACGGTGAACTGCTTTCAATGCGGTAGGCGAAACCAGCCCAACGTCAGAACGGGAGCGGACGATTATGGTGAGTGGATCAATCGGACCTCTCCCTGCCAGCAGTTGTGTCAGCGACGCTGAGCGGGGATTTGCCGTGGAGGGCCGTAGCTACATTCTGTGAGTCAGTTATTTTGGGATCGGGGGAGGACAGATTCGTCCATTTGTAAAGGCCCTCCACCCTTGATGATGGTACTCCTCTACCGAAAGGGCCTCAGAGATTACGGGCTTCGGAGTGGGGGGCTTTAATGCCTAGTAATTCACTGTGAAGTTGCTGGCGCTGCTAGTATTGCCCCCGTGACGTGCTTCCAATAAAGTAAAGCCAGGGGCCCCGTTTGCATTCCGAACGGAGATCCCGGGACCCATCGTATTCGTTGATAGCGACAACTGTGGGATTTTAGCCGGTGGGAGTCCAACATAACCTTTATGTTACCCCGCAGCTGAAGGTATCCATGAGGATTTCTCCACGATAAAAATAACACTTGAAATGTTGAGGGCTTGTTGCAGGCGTACAGCAGGCCTCATTGGAAAGGAAAAGGATGGTAGAACAACAAGTGAATGCAGCACACAGAGTAAATGGGCTCTTCACTCTATTGTGGGAAGCGAGAATGTGTCAAAAAGGCACGTATGGCAATTCACAATGCTAGTCCCATCCTTAATGTATGATAGTGAAAGTAGATACGCGTATGGACAATATACTGCCCATGACAGTAAGCATTTTTCTACAAGGGTCATCAAAAATACAACTTTCTAATCTGTTTCTTGGGGAAAATTGTTTAATAATTTTATTAGACTTAACTCTCCAGACATTAGGATTTTATACATTTTGTATTAAAATCCACCACAAGACAGGCAGGTTTAGCTTATACCGGCTAACATGTTTTTTGAATAAATAAAATTATAATTATTTATTTTGGATCTGTCATGGTAAAAAATCGATTAACTTTTAAAGTTATTCAGTTTCGTATACTAAAATAATTTTGTTGAACAGTTTTACCATTCCCTTAATATTTCCGATTGTAGTGTTTTGGTCGCACTGAAATCATTTATCTAAAGTCCCTAAGGTGAAAGCTCCAGGGTGTAATTCAAATTTTCTTTCGTTTTTTGGAATTTGCAGGTCAGGGTTAGGTAATGAGTATGTGTTTACAGAATTATTATAATTAAAATCACCAACACAACCCTCTAAGTTCATATAATTCCTTTGAATGCTTTTTCTGGAAATAGCCATACAATGGGATTATACGAACTTAGAGGGTTGTATTAGTGATTTAATGATAATAATTCTGTAAACACGTACTCGTTACGGTCGCGAATCATATTTTGCTAAAGCTGCAACCTAATACTGACCTAAAAATTGCAAAAAACGTAAGAAAATTTGAATTTCGCAGGTTACCCGCGCTTTCACCTTAAAGGTAAATTAAACATTACTATAAATACTTTATAGTTAGCTCACACAATGACAAGTCAGGTCATCTATAAGCAATTCCAAATGAATTAAAGAAATGTACCTACATTTCTCCGCTCACTTTAACTTCCGTCTTTTCCGCCTGGATTGATCCGTAATACGCGAGAAAGTCGAAGTTGAAACAACAATGAGATTTTTGTCAGTTCTATTCTAATATTATCATAGATGTAGAATATACTCGCGTATGTGTTTATGAATATTATTTATACTTATTCTTTCTTCCAAGATGAAGTACGTTTTTTTCAACCAACTTCAAAAAAAGGTGGAGGTTCTCAATTCGACTGTATTTTTTTAATGTGTTACCTCAGAACTTTTTTCTAGGTGAATCGATTTTTATGATTCTTTTTTATTTCAAATCTGGTGCTTCTCATGTGATCTGAAATATAAAACGATAAGATGAGGAAAATGTATATGACATTTGATCAAGATCTGACCAGTTGTTTTTGAGTTATCCTTAATAATGCGCAATTAATTGACTTTGATCTAAATTGATGATGTTCGAATTTTATTTTATTGAAGTTGGTTGTACAACATTTTTAATTTTACCACTTGTTATATTATGATGTTTATGTCCTGTGTTTTTTACCAAAATTTTCAATCTGAAGAGTATATTTTTATCTAACCGAATCTCATCTCATCCCATAGACACTAAAATATCCCACAACTTAATAAGAAGTGCTGGCGCAGAATTTCCGAACGCAATGTCATATGACTGAAGACGTTCAATGCTACCAACTTTATGAAAAAGTCCTCCATTATTGAGGCAGCTGATATTTGTGTCATAGTAGATTTCTTCAAAATAAAGTCTTAAATCTGCAGAAATGGGTGCCTCATTTGTTCCCATCACCATATTCACCGTCCTTTGGGGTGTTGTGGGCATTGTTTGCCCTATTTTCGCTCCCAAGGGACCTAACCGAGGGTAAGTTTGTTTCACTTACAAGGATAAGCGATTTTCCAAAGTTTTTCCTCATCTTATCGTTTTATATTTCAGAATAATCCAAGTGGTATTAATGTTAACGGCAGCGACGTGCTGGTTATTGTAAGTATATTTTGAATAACTTAAATGTCTACATTTTACAGTAATCTATGTTTATGATTTCTATTATTTGGGGACTCCTTAAAATTCTAAATTTGGGAAATGTAAGCCTTGATTTGCTATGAATATCCAAGTGTCTTAACACAGCATCTAACGCTTCCTCTAATCTTGTGGAATTACTATTATATTTGAAACTGAAGAGAAGGAAATTTACTACCTTTGTGATAGTAATCACTAAGATAGTACATAGTAATGTTATTTACAACATACAACTGCTAAGGATATTGGTGTAGTGGTCAAATCTGTATATCTTTGAAAATCATAATGTTATTATAAACATAACTATCTGTATTAAATTAATCTAAAAAACTAATGCTCTAAGGGTATCATTGTGATTTTTGAATGGCATATTTTGTTCTTTACCCTGTACCATTTGTATTTAGTAAGGCTTTGATTCATGCCAAAAGTTATTAGCTGTTTCATATATAATATACAGGGTTATTTTTCAGAGTAACCAAATTTTAAAATTAAGTTCAAATATATAAATAATAAAAGTAAAAGTTAAGTTGTAGCCTATAAACATCCCACTTCTGGGCACAAGCCTCCTCTTATTTATGAGAGAGTTTTTAGGGCAAGGATATGTTTGCCGTACTGCCCCAATCCAATGCGTGTGGACGAACTTCACATGTCTTCGAAATTTGTTTTTAAACTTATTTCTCAGACATGCCGGTTTCCTTGCGATGTTTTCCTTCACCGCCGATAAAATGGTAAATCAACACTTAAAATTGCAATTAACAATTTCATTGGTGCCACCGGGGATCGAACTTGGGTTGCTCGCTTACTGTGAAACTTACAGCGAGCGCTAACCATCTGAGCTATCACAGCTCATTATATAAATAATGATACACTGTTATTGCAGTTGTAGAAAATATGAGTAAATAAAGGTTCAACTTTTATTTAAAATTATCCCAAATTGAATGTGATTTATGGGCAACAACATTTTTGCCTACTAATCGACCTTTACGAATGTGTGTGTGCACAGTAAATCTGTTAAAATAATGCATTTTGAGTTTAAAATATAAAAAGAACAGAATGCTTAAGATTTTTTTTACTTAACTTTTTAAACCTTTTCTGGAAATTTGACCGGTTATTGCAAAATAACCCTGTATATTACTACAGCACAATAAATAGTCAAGTCAACACAAGTGTATACTCATCTGCATCTTACATTTTAGGAAAGACCCACTTACCTGTCTTTTGTTAATGCTTTGTATATGGAGATAATTACATCCTTATAAGTTATTTGATTCAAAACCAGATAGTAGACAGGAAATTGTCCTGGATCATTTTTGATTATGGAATTCTGAATTATTAGAGGCTATTAGCTGCACTGCGGTAGACATTGTAATTTCACAAGTGTATTCTCAAATACTGATGCAGTCAAGATGTCTTTTCTTGTATATACTCCATTTAGTATGAAACTAATTTTGCGGATTTCATTGCATTTATCTTATTTTAAAATCCAATTGTTTAATTGCTTTGTTAGCTACCACGCTTATGGTCTCAAAGGAACTGACATATTTGATATCTTGATATAACATCGACCTACTATTAAATGGACAGCGGATCTAGCACAAAATTCATGAAAAATGTGTTTCAAGTCAATCTATATAAGCGTAGATGGATATATATAGAAATATAAAAACAAAGTATAACAACCTAATTCAAACCATATTATTATTATGAAACTGCTCAATTTTACTTGTGACAATTTATGAGTCTATTAAATTCGACTAGAGGTTGCACTAATTTCACCTTACGAAGGCGGCACTGAAAATTTCGGAAATCAAGGAAGTGACACAATATTACTATTTAAAAATGTATTTATTGTTTTTCGAAATATTCTCCGTAAAATTTGACACATTTTTCCATACGATGGAACCAATCATTGAAGCAACCATTCTATTTGGAAGTTGGGGTCTCCATAATGGCCGTTTCGTAGCATGGCCGGTTTTGGGGACAAACGTGGCCACCATTTTTTTGCAACACTCTGTGAACGAACAATTTTTGTTGACTTTAACTCATTTTCGAACACCCAAACTCGTGACTGGTTTTTTGTTTCGGGTTCGTACGCGTATATCCAGGATTCATCACCTGATACGATGTTGTATACAGCATTTGAGGATCCTGCGTGGAATCTTTCGAGAGTTCTGACGCACTAAGTAACGCGAGCCGCTTTTTGCTCTTCACAGAGCGAATGCGGTATCCATCGGGAAAACAACTTTTTTACACCTAATTGTTCATGCAAGATTATTTGTATTTGACTCATGCCAATGTCTAAAGTTGCCTGAATTTCGCGGTATGTCACATGTCGATCTTCCTCAATCAGCTTACGCACAGCATCAACGTTTTCTTGGGTGACTGCAGTTTTTGGACGACCTTGACGGGGATCATCACTGAGCTTGACACGTCCTCGTTGAAATTCAGCAAACCAGCGATAAATTGTGGTTTCGGATGGGGCTTCATCACCAAATGCAGAAATCATCTGGTCAATACACTGTTTTCGTGTTAAACCACTTCGAAAGTCATAATAAATCATCGCTCTTGAATTTTCTCGAGTCAATTCCATTTTCTCAACGACTAAACAAGTTTGACAAAACCTTGTGACAAGACCGAGAATCTTTTTTTAAATAAATAAATGGTATTTGATTTTTAAAACCAAGGACTTTTCAATTAAAAAGATTTTAATATGACAGGAACAGTGGAAATATTCCATTCCTGATACTTTTAGTGCAGCTTATGTATGAAACTTCTAGCCAAAATTATAGATTAAAGTTGCAGTGTATATACGTCCCACTGCTGGGCACAGACCTCCCCTCATTTCTGAGTGGTCATAGTATGAATTTAAATGAAATACTGTGTATCTAAGCAAAATATTACTTTTGAATGATCAAATGTTAATAGTCCTTATAGCCTTATACATCATATTGTATGAAGTTTAAATAAATAAAATATGATACACCATCCTCTTTCTTCAGGGTAATTGAATAATAATTCAATAATCATTACCAAACTGTCATTTTCCCAATAAATAGATAAAAACTGGACCTAGGCCTCAGCTGCTATGTTGTGTCTTGTTCTATCACACGGACTTCGGATGCTCTACTTTCTCTCTCGTATATATTCAATTGCTCCGATTTTAAAACTTTATAGCAATGCAATAATATTCTATAAACGGTTTTTTGCAGGAAAGCCTATGCGATTCTTTTCATAGTTAAATTATCTTTCGTCTGATCCCAATTTTTATTGGTGTCATGTTGTAATGTCATATATGTGGTGTCATGTCGGTGTAGTTACCTACATTGACTTATCTGTTCGTACTTGCTTGTCAGGTAGCCATGAATAGAAATAAGTAGGCAAGCTTACCAAGGCATATTCTCCATGTTAAAAACTAATTGTTTAAACTAAATTAGTTCGGTTATCAAAAGAGTGAAGGTAATAAAAAAAAAATTGATTAATATTAATTTAATTAAAAATATCAATGAACACTTTTTGAAAGGCAAGCTATATATAAGCAATAGGCGTGTATATAAATAAATGAAATTACATTAAAAAAAATAGGTGTCATCTGGTTATCAGATGGTTGAAGGTCGATCTTCCACAGTCTCTTAGACTTGGTGTATTAAGTCCTTCGACAAAACGAAGACTGGTGTGCGATTGGAACCTCTTTGCATTTCGGAACTCTTTTGGCTCGGACACTTTAGAGTGCAGTCCCAAGGTCCATTTAGTAGTAGATCAATGGTTATATCATCATACTTTTTATGTGGTAGAGCCATAAGAATGAAATAGCAACATAATATTACAGTTTTTCATATGGTGAGTGGAGAGAATTTGCGAACCCTTTACTTGCAATGAGGCATTCCATCTTACTTCAAAAGGGTGACAATGTATCTACATTTTAATTCTTAATCAATTAGAGATGTAAGATTTATGGTGGATTGATGCTGTGGCCCTTATACAATGAAAATCTTATACAATAGAAACTGAATACTGTGGTTACCTTCAGCTTTTAATAGTTAATTGGTGGTCCCATCCATACAAAACATGCCACACCATGTGTTCCGTTTTCTTGTATGTATATGCAACTATTTAAAATATACTTAAAAATATTTATAAAATAAGTTTTCAATGATTAATATTCAGATCAACATAGTAAATCATTTATTATGTAATAAATAATAAAGTCTAATTCTTCACTTTTCAGCTGGCTGTGTGCGTATATGGCGCAAATGAACCCTCTCATTGGGCCCAGACTAAACAATGAGACTCTAATCTGGATTGCTCACACATGGGTAAGATTTGTGTGCACATGCCTGCATTTGCTTGCACAATATTTATTTTGCATTCTCACCCATTTATTCATTACAGCCTTTTAAAAGTCCACAGCTGAACGTAGACCTCCCCATAGAACACCATTACTCTTACTGAGAAAATACTATCTCCATACCAAAACAAAACAAGCGAGCCTTACAATAATTGCATATGATGTGTAACATCTGACATCTCACCTTGGTAATAAGCAACATTAACATATATCCTAAAAAACGTGTTACGTGGTAGAGCCATGCTGCAGCTATATTAGTAGCATAGTTGTAGCATGAATGGGTCTGCTCGACCGGGGAAGGACCAGCATAATATGACAGATTGACACTGCTGTGTTTCGTGTGATGAGTGTAGAGAACCGGAGACCCATTTTACTGGAAAAGAGGCCTAAGTGCCTAAGGCTGGATTTAGTGCTCAACCGACGGTCAGCACGTACCGTACGCGCTGACGGTACGTCGTGATAGTCGGTCGAGGCCAAGCGTTTAGTGCTTCACTGACGGCAAGCTTTGTTAGAGGTGTACAATTACAAAGAAAAACGAATCCATTTAACTCTATAATATGTGCGTACTATTTACGCAAACGATTATGGTGTAAAAGACGGAGAAGATATTATGTGCACCCAATAATTGTAAACCTTTTAATTGAAAGACAATTTAGTTCACTGTATTCGAAATTGCGAGAACAATGTTCATGTATCAATGTTCATTTTTGTTCGCGATAATGCATAAGCGCGTACGGTCGGTCGCTATGTCAGCGTCGCACTGAACGCACGCATGTACCGCCATAGCGCGTCAGTCAACCGACGTACGTCGGACCGACAAGCTCAACTCAACCGACGGTCCTCGTACGCGCGATGTAGCCGTACGCGCGTAGTACTTCATCAGCGCTGCACTGTAGAGTTAATAGGTTTTTATAGATAGAGCTACGCTCAACCGATGTCAGCGCTCATCGTCGGTCGAGCACTAAATCCAGCCTAAGTCCTCAGGGGTGCCAACAAATTTGTATTTTGATTCTTAATTGAGGATAGCCACAGCATCCACTTACCATCAGGTGGACTGTGTGCTCGTTTGTCACCGTTGCTGTATAAATAAATTAAAAAAAAAAAGTTATAAGTACGCACAATACGACAACGCATCTGTAGCCGTTTTATTTGAAGTTGGTTGTTTGTATGTCCATGGAATGCATTAGTCCGTAGATGTACAGACCGCGGCCCGCCGGTCGAATACTGGTGGCCCGCCGACAGCAAAAATAATACTCTCGTAAATTCAAAAATCTTGAATTATATTCCAGAATAAAACCAAAAAAAAAACTATGTTCGAAAAGTAATTTGAATCTCGCGCGCGCGCTCTTCTTGCGATTATCGGTGCACCGTGCATGCGTGGGTAACAGCGGTCGGTAATGTTCGTGCTGATCTCGGTTAAATTCGTTTTCTTGAGGAACCGCCGCGGCCGGCGGCGCGGCGACGACGGCAGCGCGGTGGCGGCTTATCCACGGGTTATATTGTTAGAGCAAGCGAGATAGCAATAGTCCCGAATTCCCGATTGCTCGCGTAGGTAGATACACGAAGCTTCCAGAGTCGGTTTCGTGATTTCTCCAGACAGTTTTCGACTCTATACGCGCGGTATAAAAGCCACGCTAACCGCAGCGACCGACAGTTCGGTTTTAATTTGAGTGAAGTGTCAATAGTTCTAGTGTAGATTTTAACTCGACTAGCCGGTGTCATATATTTTGATCCACATTCAACGTAGATTTCCCGTAAGTGCCGTGTATAATTGTGTTGTGAAATCGTAAGTAAAACTCTGTTATTAATAAGTGTTTCCCTACCTATTTAATCAATTATTTTTAGTAATTTAAAAAAGGATGGGTAATTTAAGTAGGTACTGTAATTGTTTTTAGGTGCTGTGTTAATCCTAGCCAGGATTAGAACGCAACATGGACAAGCCAGGACCTAGTAAAAAACGTAAGGTTAAAGAAGAAAATCGGCAGTTTCAAGAAATTTGGACTGAGAAATACTTTTTTGTATGGTCGCATAACAAAGTCGTTTGTTTAATTTGCAAGAATTCTGTTGCGATTGCAAAGGAATATAATGTAAAAAGGCACTATGAAACGCAGCATCCTACTTTTACCAAGTTTACAGGCCAATTAAGAAAGCAAAAATTGTTGTCTTTAAAACGGGAGCTTATTGGTCAGCAAGCTATGTTTACAAAACCCATTCAAGATTCAGAAACAGCTACAGAAGTTAGTTATGAAATTTCTCGAATGATAGCAAAGCGAAGTCGCCCCTTCAATGATGGGGATTTTGTAAAAGAATGCATAGAAATTGCCGCTAAGAAAATGTGTCCAGAAGCAGCAAAAAAGTTTGAGAAAATTCAACTGAATCGTATGACTATCCAAAGACGAATTATGTCTTTGTCAGGTAATATTGCGGAACTATTAAATGAAAAAACTAAGATCATTGAATTTTTTTCATTAGCACTCGACGAATCCACTGATATTAGTTCCACAGCTCAAGCTACGCGGTGTTACTCAAGATTTTGAAGTCTTAGAAGAGTTATTAGGAATGTGTTCATTGAAAGGTCAAACCAGAGGAGTTATACTCAATGTACTTTTGGATGAGTGTTCAAAAACTGATTTGGACTTATCAAAATTATCGGGAGTTTCGACTGACGGTGCTCCTTCGATGATTGGTTAGTTAGTGATTCTGGGCTAGTTACTTTGCTGAAAAAGCATCTGCAAGAAAAAAACATAAAAATGCTGAAGATCTCACGCAGTTTCACTGCATTATACACCAAGAAGCCCTCTGTTCTAAAAAAATTGAATTTCAAAATGTCATGAAAGTGGTAGTTTCGACTGTAAATTTCATAAAATCACGAGGACTCAATCACAGGTAATTCAAACAATTCCTTGATGACATCGAAAGCGAATATGGAGATTTACTGTATTATACAGAAGTAAGGTGGCTAAGTCGTGGATTGACACTGGAACGATTTCTAAATTTAATAGAAGAAATTAGAATATTTCTGGTGGAAAAGCAAAGGGATGTCCCGGAACTTAAAAATCCTGATTGGTTGTGTGTTTGGCTTTTTTAGTTGATATTACAAATCATTTGAATGTCTTGAACACACGGCTTCAATGCAAAAATCAACTGATATCCCAGCTCTACGCTCATGTATCATCCTTTCAATGCAAGCTGACACTTTTCAGATCGCAATTGAATTCTGGAAATTACAATCATTTTCTGAAATATAAGAAAATGGCTGAAAAATTCAACAAAACTGCGATTAATTTTAGTTATGTAGAAAAGCTAGATATTTTGATTCAATCTTTTCAAGACTTAAAAAAGTGAAACCTCTGTTGGACATATTCAGCAATCCTTTCACGATTTCAGTTGAAAATGCGCCAGAGTCAATGCAGTTAGAAATTATCGACATTCAAAACGACCAAGATTTACGCAACAAATTCAACGAAGGAGACTTGCTGAACTTTTACCGCTGCATTGATAAAAATACGTACAAAGAGTTGCGCATAAACGCTCTGAAATGTGCCAGCTTATTTGATTCTACCTATTATGTGAACAAACCTTTTCAATACTAAATAATAATAAAACAAAAAATCGAAACCGCCTTGCAAATGAAAGTTTGGAAGCAGTTTTACGTGTTGCTACAAGTAAATTTGAGCCAAATATAAAAAAGATTGTAAGCACTATGCAGTGCCACGCTTCAAATTAATAAATTCTTTTTCAATTTTAATACATTATTATCAATTCTTTATTGTCTTTAATGACCTATACTTCTGGCGGCCCGCCATCAGTTCGTAATTTGCCCGAGTGGCCCCTAGTCTTAATAAATCTGTGCATCACTGCATTAGACACTTACTGTTAGGTGGTCTGAAGTTCGTTTGTCACTTCAGTTTAAAAAATAAACAACTAAATGAAATATTTAGGGCTTCGTTTTAATATTGTATAATTAAACTAGTTCATTTCCGCGGCTTTGCCCGTGTGGACTTTTTTGAAGAGAAAACTTATTTAGAATCGTTGTGATCTGAAACTCGATGAAACGAAAAAGAGACAAATATGTATATACATATATTGGAATTAAACTGCGCGAGAATGAGACAGATACAGTATACAGTGTTTCCCTCGTATATATAATGCATGTGATCTATGCTATAGGCCCGTATGGACTTCGCGTTATTATCATCATTATTCTTGTTTCATGACAATATTTGCAGTCACCTTGTTGTTTGTCAGTGTGTCTGTCTGTCTATTTCAAGCATCCTTCTTAGGGTTCATATTAATTCGTTCACTCCGAAATATTTTTAGTGTAAATTAAAAAAAAAATGGGTGATTATCGTGGAACACTCTGGTGGAACGAAGTTCCTTACGTAGTATATTATTATTGATAAACGTAGGTGTTATATTATTGATTAACAAATACAAATAAATGAATTACTAGAGTCTATTAAAATGAAGTGTCATTTGAAATAAAATAATATTTCTTTCATGGCAATATAAGAAAAAGTGCGAGGGAGCTGGACATTATTCCATCTCGCTTCCTTATTTCGCCGCAAAGGCCGTCTACACTATGACACAAGGGGTAGTGTAGAAAAAATCTTACACTTTTTGTCGCCTAGCTCCCTTCCGCCAAATCCGTACCGTCCGATGAGGAACTTCGTTCCAAAAATATAAATATCTCTACCATAGCGCCACCTATCGATGTGATTTTCTTTTTCGCCACTAAACAAACTTCATCCATTACAGCATATAAAAGTGCACTGCCGAACATAGGCCTCCCTCATAGATATGCTCATGGGGAGATCTTGCCATAACTGTCACGCTTGGCATGCGTGTTGGCAACCACACTTTTTTATTATTTTGTGTTGTTATCAGTAAGATGCTGCCGTCCATCTCTGTTGCATTTACCATCTGTCCCTCTGACGACACCCATGGTATGACTGCATGTGTCGTAAGAGACGACAAAGGACAACAAATCAGGAGATGGGCAGCAGCGTCTTCCTAACAACGAATAAAAACGACTGCGGCTGCCAACCCGCTTGCCAAGCGTGGCAACTACGCCAAATATCCCCTCTATGAGGCAATCTAATGAAGAGGGTTATGTTCAACAGTGGATTTTAATAGGCTGTAGCGGTGAATACAATATACTCATTCGGTCACAGTGAGGAAATAGAGTCTTTCGCAGATGGCTTGTCGTAAGTTGAGACTGGTCGCCGTGACGGAAATTTGGTCTGGAAGACTGTATTATTATTACTTCCCAGGATGAATGACACTATCTACATTCTTAATTAAGTACTTTAGGGTGCTCGTACTATTCGCATGTTAAAGTTGGCAAAAAATTACTTCGCGTACATCCGCTCGATAAAATAAAATGATGTGTCTTCCTAGTTTGGAGAGCACCTCCCGCCCTCCCTTAATTGCGTGCACTATCACCGTCACCACTAATCCCAGCACCACTGCTCCCAACACCACTACACTAGGAAAGACACACCACCGACGATAATAACACGTGTTTCGCCTCTACACGAGGCATCTTCAAGTGATCTAGACCTAAGGCGGTCAGCCACCGCAGTGTCTATATCTACCGCGAGGGTGGGAGGTGCTCTCCAAACTAGGTAAGACACATCATTTTATTTTATCGAGCGGATGTATGCGAAGTAATTTTTTACCAACTTTAATGTAATGGACTTCCGCAAAGTAACGCCTCATTCTATTAGTTATCTATTCGCATCTCTCTGAATATATTATAGCTGCAGTATGAATAAGTCTGCACGACTGGGGAAGGACTACGCACACAATACAAGTTTGTAATGTCAGCATTATATTGCTGGGTTTCGTATGGTAACGGGTACAAAGTGTTCCATCTTAGTTCGCAGATGTGACAACATATCTGCGTTCTGATTCTAGATAGAGGATTGATAGTCTATGGGCCACAGCATCCACATACTAGTGCCGCGAGTATTTACTAAGAATATACGTGTACCACGTACCTGTACATGGTAGTGCCAAGCTGCAGTTATATTTATAATATAGTTGCAACTCAATGCTGCTGCGTTTCGTATGGTGAGTGTAGAGAACCGGAGACCCTTTTTACTGGAAAAGAGGCATTCCATCTTAGTCCTCAAGGCTGACAACGCGCAACTGCATGTTGATTCGAAAACGACGATAGATGTAGATGTCTGTAGGCCACAGCAACCACTTATCATCAGGTGGACTGTGTGCTCGTTTATCACCCTATTTATATAAAAAAATATATACAACTAAGAATTAAATGCTTTACAAAATAGTTTCTCAATCCTATTATACATGGCAGAGCTTTGCTGCAGATATATTATAGTTGTAGCACGAATGCTCTCGCAGAATATTAGCGTAAAATAGCAGCTCAATGCTAGTGTGTTGTATGTATTGAGAGTGTAGAGAACCGGAGACCCTTTTTACTAGATACGAGGCATTATATCTCAGTCCTCAGTGCAGTGGTGACAACCAGTCTGCATTTTGATTCTTAATCGAGGATGGGTGTATGTGCTACAGCATCCACTTACCATCAGCACCATTACTCCCAACAGGTGGAGTGTGTGCTCGCTTATCATCCTACTACTGTCACTTTTTCCGAGTTTCAAAAATGAAATGTCTCTGTGTAGATCGTTGTAGATTTTGACGTTCACACGAGCTTTAAACAAGCTTTGAATAAAATAAGAAAACCGGCCAAGTGCGAGTTGGACTTTCGCATGAAGGGTTCCGTACCATCGTAATACACATTTCTAGTAGGAGAGCCCCTTTTAATTTTTAGTTTATTTTAATTTTTTTTAATTTGTTGTTTTAGCGGCAACAGAAATACGCATTCTGTGAAAATTTCAACTGTCTACCTATTACGGATCATGAGATACAGCTTGCTGACAGACAGGCGGACGGACGCACAAACAGCGGAGGCTTAGTAATAGGGCACTCCATGGGTTGACTATTAGAGAATGCCTCAAGGCATTAAGTCCGCCCTTTGTATTCTTTTAAATAAATAGGGTGCCGTTGGTTGCCCTTTGGATACGGAACCCTATAAAGGGTTACCTATCAATGCATAATCTTGCTCGTTCGTGGTTTGTGCTACAAGTACGCTAGATGGCGTTGTTCGCTAAAGCCATTTCGCAAAGTCTAGAATCTATCTTATATTTTTTATATTTCTGTCGTAGCTTTTTTTTGTTACAATGTAAATTTTATTTGGAGTTTTTAAAGTAATACTAGCGACCGCCCCGGCTTCGCACGGATGATTTCTGTATCTAGACAACAGCGCCACCTACCGGGTCGAAATATAAATCTAAACCGTCTAGGAACCCATACAAACACACACAATGTTTTTTATCAAAATCGGTCGATTCGTTTTTGAGTTTTAGCGAGACTAATGGACAACAATTGATTTTTATATATAGAGCCTAATATATACTTACATACAATTTGGTACACTGACAACTTTGTTGTAGAATCGGACAGTGATGCCAATTCGAGGCGAGGTCTTCACGTAATTAATTGCTTTGATAATGTATTGCGTTTGCATTCTGTTTTATGTTTCAAAGATTTAGTAAACACAAGGGCTATCTAGTAAACACAAGTAAGGGCTAATACTGAGATTATTTTTATAGCTATTTTTATAGGTGACAAACGAGCACACAGGCCACCTGATGGTAAGTGTTTGCTGTTGCCCATAGACATCTACATCTGTCCTCGTTTGCGAATTAAAAAGCAGATACGTTGTCACCCGTGAGGACTAAGATGGAATGCCTCATTTCCAGTAAAAAGGGTCTCCGGTTCTTTACACTCACCATACGAAACCAGCAGTGTTAAGCTTCTATTTAACGCTGGTATTCTGTTAGAGCGTGGTCCTTCCCCGGTCAAGCCGACCCATTCGTGCTACAACTATACTACTAATATAGCTGTAGCGTGATTCTACCACGTGCATTTCTTGATAGAAAAATCCAATAATTGCTTTTAGTCCGACCCGGGTTCGTACCCAAAACCGACAGTCACTCTTACGATCACTAGAACAACGAGGCCGTAAACGAGTAGAATATTCAACCTCTGAACATCCAACTTCTAAGTCAAGTCCGACTTTAAGGCCTGCGGCGTTGAGTTAGAAGACATAATAGGTGAAAGGACTGACTCGTGTCTTCGAAAAATCGAAGGTAAATAAAGGTATAAAATATTTACCTTCAAAAATGATATCGTACTGACCAAACCACCCAATGGGGTTTCTCTGAGTGATAATCTTAGAAATGGGGATATCCGCAGTAGAACCAGAGTAACTGAATTAGCCCAACGGATTAGTAAGCTAAGTGGCAGTCGCCCGGCTATATAGCTTGAAGAATAGAATAGAATAATTTTTTATTCAATATAGATCACATGTGTAATTCTTATTGAAAGTCATTTTTTACTTTACCACTGGTTCGAAAAAAAACCTCTGTCCTAGGAAGAACCAGCAAGAAACCCAGCGGGACTTTTTTTTAAAGCAAATTATACAATAATGGTTGTACAAACTATATAAGTACAAAATTTATTTTAAAAACAGCTTGGAAGCGATCACCTCATTCCCA